GCTGGCATGTGGTGCTGGGGGATTGAACCACGGTCCCTGTGCTTTGCTAAGCTTGTTCTAAGTAGGTGCTTTAGACCACTGAGCCATCTCACCAGCCCTGAAAATAACTTTTCTGATACGAGAAAGTTTGGTTTGGGGATCCAGGAACACACTGACCAACAAATATGACCCAAGCACTGATATCTATGGCCTGGACTTCCACGTGGTGCTGGGGAGGCCAGGTTTCAGCATCATGGTCAGGAAGGTGGGCCAGGCTGCAATGGGGCCAAACACAGAATCAGCAAATCAGCATGGAGGGCATGCACTAGTTCCAACAGAAATATGATGGGATCATCCTTCCCAGCAAATAAATTCTCATTTCTATTCAAAAGGTCAGTGAAATGCTTTCGATGAAATGTAAAAACAAGGAGGAGGAGAAGGAGGAGGAAGATGACATACTAGCCCATAAAGCATGCTTAAGTTAATGCTAAAGAATCAAAGTTATTCCATGAATATTATCAAATAGTACAATAAAACTAGAAATTGGTGTCAAAAGGTACCAAGAAAATTATGCAAACACATGGAAGTCAAATAATACAATCCTGAATAATCAATAGGTCACACAGAAAATTAAAAAAGAGATTAGACAGTTGCCACAATTAAACAATAATGCCAGTACAACATACTGGAACCTATGGGGCACAAAGAGAGCAGTCCCATCAGGAAAGCTAATAGCCGAGAATTCCTACATCAGAAAAACAGAGCTATCTCAAATAACGTAATCATTCACTTCAAGGCCCTAGAAAAATAAGAACAATCCAAATCCAAACTAAGGAAGAAAGTTATAAATATCAGAGCAGAAATTAATTAAATTAAGATTTTAAAAAGTACCAAAAATAAAGGAGCAGGTTCTTTAAAAGATTAAGGAAAAATAGACAAATCTTTAGCCAATTTTTATTTTACCAAAATAATGTTACCAAAATCTGAAATGGATAGACACTTCTTGAAGAAGTACAAAAGGCCAGTAAATATATTTTAAACATGTTCAACATGGTTGATCATTCAAAAAATGCTAATTAAAACAACACTGAAATTCTATCTGTAGCAAAAAATGGCTAGCATCAAGAAATTAACCAATAACAAGTGCCGGAGAGGCTCTGCGGTAAAAGGAACCCTTCTTCATAGCTCATGGGAGTATAAACTGGTGCAATAATTATGGAAATCAATATAGATATTTCTCAAAAAATTAAAACTAGAAAAAAAAACTAGGGGCTGGGGAGTTAGCTCAGTAGAATAAGCGCTTGCCTGGCAAGCGCAAGGGCCTGAGTTCAATCCCCGGTTCTGCCAAAAAAAAAAAAAAAAAAAAAAAAAAAAAAAAAAAAAAAAAAAAAAAAACTAAAAGGACCAATGCCATCTGATCCAACTATTCCTCTTCTAGATATCTTTCCAAAAGAATTAGAGTCATACCATGGTGAATATACATACCCATGTTCACGGGTATGCACAACCTGCTAAATCGTGGAAACAGCCTATATGCCATGTCCACAAGCAGATAAATGGATAAAGAAAAGGTAGAATTTATACATAATAGGGTACTACCCTTCCATAAAGAAGGATAAATATGAGTCATTGGTAGGAAAATATATGCAGCTTGAAAATACATGCAGCTTGGTAGACCAAATAAAGTAAGTTGGTCACACAGCTTTAAATATTGCAGTTTCTCTTATACAAGAAATTCAATCTATAAAGTACCAACTATAAGACAGACAAAAGGAACAAGGGGAGAGAAAAAAGTTATGATCTAGCATAGACAATGTATATAAAATTATCTGTGTTATTTATGTTTTTTGGTGATAACTTGGCTGTTAATCTACATGTATGATAATTACCTTCATAAGCATTTATAAGATAAATAAATGAACCTGATGTTCATTTCCTCTTAGGCAAAAAGGGGTGGAGGGGAAGAGGAAAAAATAACTGGGACATATTCTGTACACATACGAATTCCGCACAGCCAATGTAACCATTATGTACGACAAACAGATACTAATAAAAATTAAAAATTGAAAGAGAGAGAAAGAAAAGAGTAGCTGTGGGAAAGCAAAACTAAGGTCATGGAGACAACTTCTTCAAAAAGCATGACTTGCATTTGGGGTGTAACAATGGTAAAGCACATGCATTGAGATCATGGGTTCCATCTTCAGCACCAAAAAAGAAAAAAAAAGGATGGTTTTGAAGAGAAGAAAATGGCAAGTGACAGCTAGAGAGTTTTCAAGCTAAAGCTAGGAGGGAGCCAAGTTTAGTAACAGCAGCTGAGTCATATTAAAGGACCTGTGCCAAGGGGCAAGGGGGCTAGAACAGGTCAGCTGGGAGAGATTTTTTTTTTTTTCTCAAGGTCCTGGAGATTGAAAGTAGGGCCATCTGCATGCTAGGCAAGTGCCCCACGACTGAGCTATATCCATGGCTCTTTTTATCTTATTTTGAAACAGGGTCTTGCTAAACTGTAAACTTATAAACTTCCTCCCTCAGCTTCCAATATAGTTGGGACAAAAATCAGACATGTGCCACCACACCCAGCTGTGAAAGGAAGCAGGCACTTTTCTACTCTAGCAGGAGGAGGGTGTCTGTGCATTAGTGGTTTGCACACATGAATTCAGAGGTCCCTGGGCCCTACTCCTGGAGTTTCTAATTTTGTAGCTCTGATGCTAGTCTGAGAACTGCCCCTCTTACAGTTCCCAAGTGATGCTGCTGCTTCTGGGACCTCACTTGGCGAACCAATGGTAAGAAAATGTGTAAGCAAAGTGGTAGAAAATGGAGGAAGTTTCCAGATTCTGTCATTTAGAGTTCTCCGAGAAATGATGGGTCATATGCCAAAAATGAAAGAGGGTAGTGGTGAAATGAAAAACGTGAAGAGAAAAAAATACTCCAAAGCCTGCTCACCAGCTATACACCATTTCCCACAGAACCCAG